TTTTATTATACCAAGTGATATTGGTTCACAATTAATTGGTGTTGTTAATGGACGAACAATAGCTGAATTACTTGTTACATATGCTGATGATATACATGAAGAACAAGATGGAAAATATTTAGTTATTACACTTGGTAATCAAACATTACGTCTACAACAACACAAACAATTAATGTCAACAAAACAAATCTCAACAATAACAACAGCAAAACCAACAGTTGATCCAAAATTAAAATTACTTTTTCCATTTAATAAATCATTAAGACAAATAACAAAAACATCATCAACATCAACATTAAATGTTCAACCACCAGATGCATCAAATGGTTATGCTATTGATCCATTACTTATGCTTGCTAATTATATATATCGTGCTGGTTCAATTTATCAAGATGATCGTGGTCGTTTAGTTATTAAAATGGATGAACATGAAATAGTTATACCACGTATTGAAGCTATTAATGCTATTGAAACAATAAATACATCACCACATCGTACAGGTACAATAGTAGCACGTTTAATTGATCGTATTGGTAAAGTACAATCAAATAAAGCGGGTGGTTTAATAATAACAATAGGTAAAAGTTCATTTGAATTACCTAAAGAATTAATTGATCGTGCTAATCAATTACATCGTGAAACAATTGATAAAGAAAATGATATTCCAATTAGTGATCAAGATTTCATACAAACAGGTTTAAATGGTTCAATGACATTAGCTGGTCGTCATAATCGTCAACCAAATGGACCCACACTTTTACCAATACTACGTTTATCAAAATCTGTTGGTAGTTTATCAACATCAACTATTGGACATCCATGGTTTACTGATGATCAACAAATGCTCTATACAAAAGATGGTCGTGGTGATGCTAGATATTTAAATTTAGATAATTATCCATTATCATGGCAAAAACAAGCACATAAACATGGTGTTAATTGTGAAGTACGAACAATACGTAATGTTGCACCATATTTAGATATATTAGGTTATGTTGAAAATGATCCGAAAAAAGCTGTAACTATAAGTGATCTAGCACGTTTACATCCTGAAATGTTAAATCGTGGTAAATTAAATGATAATTTATATTTAACACAATTAGAAAATGATCGTGCACAAGTACAAACAAAATTATGTCCTAAACCACGTATACTTGTTATACCAGATGATGAAACAATGTTATCATCAAATCGTAAAACACGTTTTTATGTACAATATATGTATGAACATGATGCTGTACTTGGTACTGATCCAGCTTATGTTATGATGTTACCAAGTCGTTATCCTGTACGACCAACAAAACCACAATTAATTGCTCCTCATCATTATCGAGATATAACATTACGTGAAGCACCTGTATATGTTCATAAAAAAGGTGAAGGTGAAGTTTATTATGAAAATCTTGCACAATATTTATCAGCTGAACATCCAGATTTTTCACCACGTACTGTTCGTCGTATGTTGAACTTCTCGAATCGTGATGAATATCTCGAATATTTAAGTAATAAAATGCCAGCAGCTGAAGCTGAACAACTTGTACGAGAAAGTGAAGAACCATTAGGTGAAATGCCATCTCGTTATAGTAATATAGCAACAAGAAGGAGTGGTAGTGAAACAAATCTTGCTGAGAATGATAATGATGAAGAAGATATTGATGAAGATTTCGATGATCAATTTATTGAGAATGATAATCGACGACGTATTGTTTCACCACATACGTATTATAATATACAAAATGGTACAACAAATACATATGATGAACAACGTCGACCAGTTGTATATCAAAATCGTCAAAATTCTTCCTCACAACCACCAATAACAACATCAACATCGAAATTTGTTGAACGTAGTCCATCAACATCAAGTCTTGGTTCAGATATGATTATTGCTAATACATTACCATCACGTCGTACTATTTTTGAAAATGTTCCAACATTACGTGATGATAGAAATCGTACAGGAACAACAACAATAATAACAACAAATCCATTAAGTAGTCTCACTGATGAAAATTATGGCCGACCTGTTGTACGTGGTCCGGTCTAACATATTTTTCTTAAATTTCATTTTTGTTTTCTTTGTTTTTCATAAATCAATAGTGTGAACAGTATATCTTCGTCTGTACATAAGATTCTGTCCTTTTTTTCTTTAATTTCTCATTTATCGTAGTTTGGATCTTTTATGCTATCAATCGCGTTTTCGATTTTTATTCTTATTATAGCCTTTATCTTAGTATGCATCATTTCATTTCTTTGTTTTTTTCGACATTTAATTCTACACGTTGTGCCATTTTTAACATTCACATTTGTCCAAAACAGAGTGCGTAATCTCGCTGAAGGCTATCGTCGCCATTTCTCATTTTTTTTTCGTCTTTTATCACAAAAAAACACATAATTATATAGACGCCATATACATCTTTTGACTGTTTCTTATGATGCGTTGTATTTTCTTTCGACTTTTTTACATATTTTCAAGGTTAACATTAGTATTCAAGGTTATTGGTATAACATTTACGGCTTGAAAATGACTATTTATTTTTAGGTGCTTCTCAATTTATATTATAATGTCATGAAAGAAAGAAAGAAAGAAAGAGAGAGAGAGAAATGTATTTTATCATTGGCTTTTTTTCGTTTATGCAAATATTCATGATTAATTTGTTTTTCTAACATATCCAGGTCGAACAACTAATGGCGCTAGCGGTCAAAGTTCTGCATCACCGGAAAAAACGGTGACATTACCTCGAAGTGCTACTTTATCTGGACAAAGTATGTGAATTAATCAAAGACAGAATATTGCATGACATTGTGCATGTATGCATGGTTTTTTTCTTTAGGCAATGATGAAGAAAGTGAAAGTCGAGGGACCTTTTCACGAAGTGCTAGCGCTGCTGCAAGTATGTTTTTTCTAATTTAAACATGAGTGCTGTGGTTTTCTTCTAAATATCATAATGAAAAATTATATAATTGATTGTGTTCTTTTAATTTGATAGAAGTGCCAACAACTAAATCGGATACATTGAAATCTGCAACATCATCATCGGCTGCATCAAGTCGAGAGGTATGTTGTAAGTTTTTGTTTTTGTTTTTTTAAAATCATTGTTAAATAAATATTTCAAAAGAAAATCGAGTAAGATTTTAATAAACAAAAAAACTATATTCTTATCTACAGCAACCATCTGCTACATCATCATCAGTGGCACGAGCTCAGAGTTTGGTCAGTACACATTGACATGCACCTACATATCACTTATTTCTTGGCTGCTTTTATTTATATATTTCTACTATGTTAAAATGAAAAAAAAACCGAACCCTATGTGATTGTCATTTCGGATGTTCCTATAAAATTCTTTTGTTAAATGAATAGCACATCGTGCACATATGTACTTATTGGTGGCATGTAAAGAAAAAAAAAAGAAAAATCTTTTTTTATTGAAAAAAAAAGAAAATTTATTTCGTTCAATTAATTTGAGATTTGATTTTTTTTTATTATATAGGTCTCACCAACGCGTACAAGTGGTAGTAAAGGTGGTGGTGATGAAACAAAAAAAGAGAAGAAATCAAAATTTCGAACACCATCATTTCTTAAAAAGCGCAAAGAAAAAAAAGAAGCTACGAACAAAGATAAACCTTAAATAAACGATCATATATACTTCGAATTATTATCTAGTGTTGTCGTGGTGTTCTCTTAATTTTCTTTTTCTTTTTGTTTTTGTAGAAAAATTCTTTTCGTATATAATACCCTCTTTTTTCTTGTACGTCTGTAGCTCAGCACATTCGTTGTTGTATATTGTTGCTTTTGTGTGTGTGTGTGTATGTGTATTAATCTCTAATGAAAAAGAAACGCAAAACAACAGACTAGTGTCTAGACCAATCTCTAGTCAAAAATGATTAACTAATAGATCAGCTCAAAGAATTTGTTTTTTGTTGTTTCCCATTTAAAGAAAACATGTCCTGATTGACTTTTCTTTTTTTGCTTATTGTCGTATAACTTAGTATGCATTTGTTTCTTCGTTTTCCATTGAAGAAACTTCTCATGATTTATTTCTTTTTTCGCTTGTTTTTTTGTCCGTATTGTGTGCGTTGACCTCATTCAATTTTTTTTCTTAATGATAGCACGCGTGAGCATATATATATACATATACATATACATGAAGAAATTGTCTTCTACATAATAAACATATGTACACATTAACTAGAATAGAATGAACAAACATGGCAAAGTTCAAATTAAGATACTGTTGATTTTATTCTCTCACTCTATTTTAATGAAAAGATCAAAAAAAGAAAGATCACTAGAGGTGCGAAAGAATAGTGACAAAAAAAAAATCTTCCAAGGTAATTCTATAACATAGGTAAGATAATGGTTAATAGTTATGTAATAGGAAGGAAGCCGATTACTTCATCAACATTATGTTCATTCATGTTTCAATTACTTCTACAAAAAGAGAATGAAAGAAATTATTATTCTTTCACAGTTGAATTAATACGATTATAGTTTTAATAAAATTTCTAATCGAATAGAAGAACTTCAAATTTTGTATCACAGTTAGTAATCAAATAACTGAAAATATAAATAATCTTGTTGTTTCTATTCTAAATAAAAAAACAAATTTTCCATAAAATGACTTCATTATTCAAAATATTAAGGACAAAATAACTTCGATAAAAATGACGAAGAAACCTTAAAAATGGTCTTGAATTTGCCTGTATTCATAAATGAATTTCAGCATCATTCATATCGGCTTTATCTTTATATTATTCAGTAACATTATAACTAAAATTCTTCATCATTTGTTAAAAATTTGATCGAAATAAATTTATATTTAATGTGTAAAATCATATCTATGTCTTTTATTGAATAAAAAAAAAATCGTATGTGAAAAAAAACCAACATTCTAAATCTTTAATTCTAACATCAAAATGAAAAACAAACAAAAAAAAAACCATATAGCATGTTCGATGAAAATGTTGTTGCATTTATTTTTCTGAATTGTTGGATTTTAACTACATAATCTTTGACAACGTCGTTTATTTTTTACTGTTGTTTTAATATGTTGAAGAAGTTCTCGATAATTTTTTCCATCTGAAAGATTTGAATTGGGATGTTCTTGAGTAAGTCCAAGATAACCACATCTAAATATTGTAAAAATAAGATTCATATTTTAATTATGAAATAGAAAACAAAATATTTTCCACCTTCCAAATACAAAAGTATCTATTGCTTGTCCATGATTACGTAGTTTTTTAATTAAACGATCTTTTGAATTATCTTGAAATACACGAATTTGATCATAATAATTTCCAGATAATTGATGTGCAGCATTTGCTTCATTAACAAGGATAATACGCACAACTAAATCACGTATACCACCACGTTCAAGTTCACGATACAAATCATTAAATCTATTCAATAAAAAAAACAGAACGAAACATATTCAAAGAATATTTTGATAAACAAGCTTGAGTGTTTGTAATGTAAAAAAACTATTACATATAATCAAGTGACTGTAAAATATTATGTAATTCACTTATATTATTGTTCGATTGCGCTTGAATGAAACTCAAAATATTTATATGTGAATTGTCCAAAAATTCATCACTATTACAATTTCGAATATATATTTAATTATTACCTATTAGCTTGAGTTCGAGCTGATTGATTATTAAAATTTGTAATACCCAATACAAGTAACTGTTTTCGATAAAGTGCAATTAAATTCGTTCCATTAATAGTTAAATTCTGTATGCATGTTTTTTTCTTATTATCTTGTGCAACTATTGAAATACATAATAAACTAAAGACAAAAAATAAATTTTGTCTATACATCTTCTTTACTTGATTGTCTCTTGTATTATAACGATAGTGAATATATGTCGAAATAGTATTATTGATTGTTGATATACAAATATAGTTTCTCTTTTTTTTTTCTTACGAATGTCTTATAAATGATATGCTGATGACAGCTGACATTTTTCTTCATTATAGACAAAAATTGTACATATAATAGATTTACTATTCTGCCTTGACAATGATAAGATATCATCAATTGATTCTTTCTTATAATATTAACTAGTTTTTTTTGTGGAGGTTGAATGACACATTGATTGAACATGAGAATGAAAATAAAAAGGACAACGGACACAATAGCATTATTTGTTCGATGTATTATAACAAAATCTTTTCATGAAGAAAAAAAAAGAAAAGAAAGCACGACATGACATTGTCTATGTGCCATCGGTCAGTCATCGAAAGGCAGGCGTCAATTGAATTTTCTTTCTCGCCGTTTGCTTGAAGTCTATTTGTCACACATCGTCATTCTGTCTTCTTTTTTTTTTCTTGTCTGATGATGAGGCCATATGGAGGCCTTTCGCACATACATTAAAATTACAATCAAAGTCATCATCATCATCAGCAACAGCATCGTTGTTCTTGTTGTCATCAGCAGCGTTCGTACATTGTTGTTATAGTCGCCCTTAAGCAAACTTCAAGTTGAGAATGTGACAAAATAAAAATGAGAGAGGCAAAATATATACATACACAATTTACTATGCATATATCATCTTTTCTTGTATGTCTGGACTATTCAAGGATCTTTTTTCTTAATGTTTTGTATGACTAGGTAAGATGAGAATTAAGCTATTTTGTTTTTAATCCATTTAAGAAGCTATTTTATTAAATCATTAACTTGTTTTTATATTTATGATATTCTAATCACAATAAAAATTGGTTATTAAAGAATTATATTCATAAATAGAAATATTATACAAGTATAGATTTTCTCGAGAATAATCATAGACATTTGATTAGAATGTTCTTTAGTCTACTTAAATCTGATATAATATCATCAAATAATAATTTCTATTGCAAAAAAAAGGAAAGAAAACTAATGAATGAAAAGATTGTATCAAAATAATCTTACATTTAAATCTCATTAATCGAAATGTCTAATATATTATATATATATATGTCGTTAGTGAAATGATTGATTTTAATTTGCTTAAAAAGAAAAAGAAAAAAGGTCGATCATGACCTCGAGTCATGATAGTCAAGCAGGAAATAGTAGTCGCCGACCTTTTTATTATTCGTTCGTTTTCATTTATTGGTTAATTAGTCTAGCGCCTTGTCATCATTGTCAGTCAAAAGAGTAACAGCAACATCGAACTTGTCACGCACATTAATCTTGCTCTCAACTTTGTCTATGTCGTCCGCCAATTTCCTTGTCGCTTTTTTTTTTATCTTTTTTTTTCTCGTTTATATCCAACAAATCACGTACTTTGCGCAAGTCAATGACAAGCAACATGGTTGTTCTCATCTTGTCGATACAAATTGGATTTTTCGAAACATCAAATTTTTTCTAATAGATCCTTAGAGGCCTTTCTTTCGGACATAAAATACATTGTGTAACATCATCATAGTATGCACGCATGCATTTGCACATACAAAGCCATAGTGCAAGTTATAAAATGCAAACTATTATGGTTTAGGCGTTTTAGATCGTGCTTTATGACTATATACATATAAATATAAATATACTTCCGGATTCTCATTTTTTTTTCTTCTTGTTCTTCAATGAGACATAATTATCATGGGAATGACAATGCATCCGTATGTTTGTCTGTCGAATAATTCCGTCCTGAAGTGACACCTAGTCAAGGTTGAGCATATGCACGCAAAAACCATACTTCCGTTTTATATTGTCTACTAACTATTTATAGGCACATATTGAGTCTCTTATGAAAGGAATATATCGATTAATTGGGATGAATCAAGGTTATCCAAAGAGAAAAAAAGAATGTAAACTGTCGATATCTGACACGCCTTACACACTTTTCTTATTCTTGTTCTAACTTCTCTCATTTGGTTTCTTTTGTATGTGTAGAGTATGCCAGGAAACGATGATGATTAATCACTTTGACAGCACACGGTAGTAGTTGGTTGTAGTTCTCTGTTACGCAATAGTCTCATTCCCGTTTCTTTCGCATCTTTCTTCCCGATCTTTTCCTTTTTCTCTCTCTCTCTCTTTCTGTCTCGTTTTTGTATGTGAACAAAAAAATCCTCCCTTTGCTTTACGAGCATCCGTTTTCTTTTTCTTATCGTTCAAAGCTTGTCGACGAGCGACCGAGTGAACGTTTCGGTGCCAAACATATATACGTTGAGTATTTCTCTCTTCTCTCTCTCTCTCTCTCTCTGTGTCTCTTTCTTCACATCAACGCGTGCCCATTTTACACATAGAAGTGAGTATATATACGCGTACACATACACACACGATACGATTAACATTGATAGCTTATGTACACACGTGTCATTATTCCCTGTGTTTTAAAACGAACAAAAAAAAAACGGCAATTGTCTAACGTTTTCTTTTTATATCAATCGTTTTGTTCGTGTTGATAATTAGGTATGATCTTTGCTTTCATTCTTTTCTTTTTAAGCTTCATTTCCGGATTGAAAGTAAAAGTGATTTGTTATTTGTTTTATGTCCAAACGGAAATCATTTTTCTTATTCTTTGACGTATATGCATACGATAACAACATGTGTTCTATATTGCTAACGGGCTTCTAAATATATGTGATTAGCCTTTTATTTTTCCTATTCACACCAAATTTAATTGGCATCGCTTGTCTTTCTCTCGTTTCTTTTTTGTTTATTTATTTTATGAACACATATAGACATCTAAACAGCTGCAAAACCAATTTGATCATTTATACAGGAAATCATTTGAAGATGAAATAACAAATAATGATTGTCATGTTTTCTTTTCATGACTTTTATTGAGACAAATTAATGAAAGAAATTTTCATACATATCGGTTTATCTTGCTTGAAGTCAATTTTAACCTTCGTACATCTGATATCATCAGGTACAAACATTGTTTTGCGTGTACTGGATAGAAAGTCGTCAGGGTCATCGCCAGGCATGCGTAGTTGTCATTAACATTGACAAGGATTGATCGTTATACGACATATATATATATATTCATTTAGACATCCTACGACCATAATGATTAAGAATGTCATTTATATATATATATATATACAGAGAAGGAAAAATGGTAAAAAAAAAATAATTTTCATTTTGTGACATCATCATTATTATAGAGTTACTTAAGTATATGATAGAAATTTTATTTTCTGTTTCATTGCATCGTGATTAGAGTTCTTTGGTGACTAGCGTTACATATAATATATATACATATATACGGGTATGCATGTGTGTTTATGTGCGTGACAAAATGTTCACTGATCGAAATAGTTATGTTTGCGTTATATACGCAATAAGCAATAGATGTGTATTGATAAGTACAATTACATAGACATTTTCTCACATTCTTAAAAAATTGTCCGTTTTGTCCTTCGGTTTGAATACATGAAGACAAAGCATATATATATATATATATATATACACACATAGTTCAAGATCAAGTATTTGTTAAAGAAGAAAAAAAAATCGGAAGAGATCGGAACAAATAAGTTTACTCTTTAAGTTTTCTTTTCTGTTTTATGATACATTGAATAGATTTCGATATAGTTTTAAAAAAATGAAAGGGTTTCATCAAATATTGATTCTGAATTTTATATTTATATGTGTAATCATTTAAAATGTATTCATTCAGTTTTTCTTTTTGATTAGAAAGAAAAATTTTAATAAGTGTTAATTAAAGTTAATCATATTTTCTTAGATTAACAAAAGAAAAGCGATTTCATCAATTTTAAGTCTTATCTCTAGTTCGAGACAATTCCCAATTGTCATTTTTTTTTTGTTCACAATTTCTATTCAAAATCATAATAGTCAATGTGTTGTCTGATGAAAATGGCAATAGCAGCTTAGCATACATACTCATTCACTTTCTGTCTCTCGTTTTTTTTTTTATTTTAGTAATCCGTCTTTTCTATTACTGTCTCGTTCGACTATTGTCTAATTGTTTTTCTAGTCACATGCGCACGCAGTTGTGCATCGGTTACTGTTCCCGCCAACACCAAACGACTACCCATAAATCATATCATCAGTCGCTGGGTACCGGTCAGTCACCGCCTGTTTGTCATTTCTTTTTCTCCTTTTTTTTTGCATAAGGTAGTATGACGAGTAGACTAATGATTTGTTTGTTAGTCATATACACAACCACCTTCTGCTGTCTAATTATTTCCTCTCTTCATTCCATGCACGCCTATTCGAATGATTGAATTCAGAATGAGAACATCTGGCTTTGGCAATAGTGTGCAAATATAGTATAACCTCATTAACAAGATCATTTCTCTTATATGTGAAGAGTGAATGTTACAAGATAATCTAACTCTTGTTTCTCTCATATACATATTCTTGTTATTGTTTGATCTTCATTCTGTCTATCTATATCATATACACATTTTGTTTGCATGTTGTTAATCTATTCGAAAGTTCAAACCGACCTCAAGAAAAAAAAGATGGACAATAACTATGGGCATACTTTATTCTGTTCTCTTCAATCAATGTATATAGGTGTCGGTGTATGTGTGTGTGCATTCGCCGCTACTAATTAGGTCGTCACTGTCGCATATGTTGTGTCAGACGACAACAAGTGAGATGAAGTATATACAATTATTTTGACAGAAAAAATCTTCCGCAGTAATGCTTTCAATTGTACTAAAGAATTATAGTTCCAGTTTTCTTTGTAGTGGAATAAGAAAAAAAAACTTCTCTGCAGATGATTTGTTTAGCTAGACGATAATTGTTATTTACATCTATCACGTTCTGATTATGAACATCATAGTATGGTAAATAGTAATCGTAAGTGAGATAGATAAACGATGACGCCGGACAGATGTCCGTGACTGTTATAATAGTACTAAATATGGCTCGTTGTCTGTCGTCTATATCTTTGTCATATAATTGTGCAATCTGTTTTCTTTCCTCGTCTTTTTGTTTTGTTGACAAAAGCGTCAAGTTAGATGAGATGTGTATGTGAGGCAAACATCATGATAGCAAACCAGTACATATTAGTCTTTTTATTGTCATCGTTGTTGTTGATAATGTATAAGAAGTAATAGCAATAGCCAGATGTTAGTCGGCATTCGATTTTTCTTTCTTGTCGAGTAAAGCATATTTATATATATATATAAAAGTGGCATCAGACTTTCTATGCATTAACGATTAAGAATAGCTTTTCTTCTTCTTCGTCTTTTTTACATGTAAATACGGACATTGGTCAGTCATGTTTGGTTCGCGTGAATAATAATGATGATGTCATAATCAATTTTACAGTATTATAATATTTATAATTCAACTTGAAACCATAGGGGATTTGAATTATATAAAAAAAGACGAAGCAAGCAAGAATAAATTTAATTAGATGAAATATATGCTCAACCTCCGCCTCAATCATTCATTTTCCTTTTTTTTTTGGACATCTATTTATAACGGAAATAATCTTTGCGCATGTTTCTTTAATTTTTGTTTGTTTGTTTATTTTAATTTTAGATCAATTGATTATATTAATACATAAATATATATATATATATATATATACATATATATATATGGATAAATACAAGAACAGACGATAGTTAATAGAAAACTTAGCAATGATTGTATTTATAGATATTATTCTTATCTTTACCCTTTTTCTTCGTAAGTAAATTTCTTAAGAATATATTATTAATAAAGAAAAAGAAACAAATTTTTAGATATATGTGAAGGTACAAATAATAATCCACCAGTTATTATTGAACAACCACAAGATATATTAGCTGAATTAGATAAACCCATGGCATTACATTGTCGTGCTGAATCTTCATCATTAGATGATCTTCGTGTTAGTTGGTATAAAGATGGACAATTAGTAACAATGGATCCAAATGCACGAATTATAACAGAATTTATGGCGTTGCATGTAATTAATACAATGCCACAAGATACTGGTGCTTATTATTGTGTAGCTGAAAATTCTTATGGACGAACACAAAGTCGAACAGCTAAAGTCGAATTTATAAGTATGAAAAGAGAGAAAAAAACGACAACTAAAAAAACTGAAAATCTATTTTGTAGGACTTGATAAAGAATTTCTTGCATCTCCAACATCAACAGCAGCATCAATTGGTGAACGAATTCGTCTTCGTTGTGAACCACCACATGGTTCACCTAATCCAATAGTTTATTGGGCAAAAAATGGCAAAAATCTTTCACTTCCACTTGATCATTATGATCTTATATTACCATCAATTCAAGCAACAGATTTTGGTTCATATCGTTGTATTGCATCAAATGGTTTAATTCGTCAATCATCAATAGCATATTTAACTGAATTTCATCGACCTAAAATTTCTATTCATCCATCAACATCACGCATCGATATTGAACGTGGTAAATCAATTGATTTTCAATGTCAAATTGAAAATATAAATAATGATGATCAATATCAAATTGAATGGCATTATGCACATAAAAATGGAAAAATCGTTGGACGAAATAATCGTATTGACATATCATCTGTCGAATATAATCATAGTGGTTTATATATATGTCTTGCTATTTATAATAATGGACGAAAACGACATGTTTTTTCTGAAGAAATTCTTCTTTCTGTCCATGAACGATTAATAATTGATAATGAAGAAAAAATTTTTAGTCAAACAAATTTAAATGTTTATGCTGGACGATCAACTATAATTGATTGTCAATTACCATTTATATTTGATGAAAAAATTCTTTGGTCAATTATAAATCGTACAGATATATCAATTGAAAATAATCATCGCTTTGGATTTATTGATCAAAATCAATATCGTTTAAAAATTCATCGTATTGAGGAATTTGATAATGATCTTTTATTTGAATGTTATTATCAAAATCAAAAGCAAACAAGTCAAGGTTTAATTAAACTACATGTTGAACGTATTGACCCACCACCAATTATTATATTTGTACCTAATAATCAAACAGTACCTAGTGGTGTTGAAGTTAATTTTTCGTGTCAAACAAAAGATAATGCTAAAATTCAATGGTGGTTTATATCGAATGGTCGATTACATAAATCAATTAAAATTGAAAATAATAAAAAATATAAAATTGAAACTAATCATGATTTAATTATTCGTCATGTCGATAAGTAAGTTGAGTAAAAATATTCTACGATTAAATAATTTCTATTGTCATAAAAACTATGGAAATCAAATATAACGAAGGATTTTCTACAACTATTTAAACACTTTTGAATCGGAACTTTCTGTATCATGTAGATCCTAATGAGCTATGAATATTCTGAAAAAGATTGAGATTGCTAACTTATTGTTGTCGAGATACTGAATTTGGACGGTATTTACATGATTATTCTTCTTCCTATTCAGAAACGCGAAGAAAAATGAATTATGAATTTTGATTTGAAAATTTGCATAGAAACAGGTCTCAACGGAAATAATTCCTTGTGGAAGTTTGGACTTTTCCTATTCTGTGATAAGAACATTGGAACCTGTCGGTTTATATATAAATGATGTAAAAACAAAAACATACTGCTATTATAGTCATATCTTTGAACAGGAACAACTCAAAGATCTGAAGTTTTTACAATAAATTTTTTTTTTGGTGAGAACTGTTTCTATGCAACGTTTTAAATCGAAATTCGAAAGTCCGTTTTCCTTATGTTCTTGAATAAGAAGACTATAGCATTATGCTTGCAATCAACTTTACAATTCAGTATCTGGACAACAATGAGCCAGCAGTTTGAAACTTTTTCACGGCATTCATAGCTCATTAGATTCGACATGATGCATATAGTTTGGACTGAAAAGTCATTGGATAATTGGAAAAATTTTTTCATAAATTTTCTTCTAGCTTGCTTTGACAAGATTTAACCTTTCGAGAACTAATTGTATGAAAGTTGCGCTAAGTAATAAATAAATTCCATTATTATAGTTCTTAATACTATAGAAATTGTAAACGATGATGTCGAATAATTGATCGTTCGCTTAAACAGTTATTACATTGTGTCAATCAAAACTCATCATAACATGATGTTCATTATAATGTGTCATCAGTCAGAAAAGAAAGACAAGCATCCAAGGTTCTATTTCTATTGCATAGAGTCTTTAAAACAGAAACGATACAACTTTTCTTGTCAAGAATTTAACATTCTCTGTAGATTAGATTTCTTAGAAAGTTTCAAATAAGTTTATTTGTTTCATCTTATTCAAAGCTAAGTAGACATTATTCATTCAGCTTAATATTCAAGTGTGATATGTTTTCAACTAATTGAATTATTTTATATTTGCCTAATTCATTTAGAAATGATGTTGGCACATATAAATGTATTGTAACTAATACAAATGATGATGAAACAACATGGATGGCTCATTTAAATGTTGAAGATCCACGTTCCAATGCTATATTTCATCGAGTTGAACGTACAGATTTACCTCAATCTCCAACACAACCATTAGCAATAGGAATAAATGGCAATTCAATTGAATTAGCATGGAATCATCCATCAACAGATATTCAAGGTTATCTTATAGAATATTTTAATTTAAATAATGAAGATAAAAATCTTGAATGGAAACGTTTATATACAACAAATAAAAATTCACGTCAAATAATAAATGATTTAAAAATAAGTTCAACATATCAATTTCTTATACGTGCACGAAATTTATTTGGTTATGGTCAACCATCATTATTATCTGAATTAATTGAAACTCGTCATGAACAACAATTTAATGATGATTTTATTTATTTATTAGATCCAATAAATATTCAAGAAACAAGCGTAACTATACAATGGAATATTTTACAACAAAATCAATTTATTGATCGTTATTCAATTTCAATAACAAGTGATAAAGATATTAATGAACGTATTGAAACAATTATTTATAAAAATAATTTAACAACATATACAATTACAAATCTCCGTCCAAATACAGATTATTCAATACGAATAATAGCATTAAATAGTTTAACAAATACAATAGGTCGTCCAAGTAATACAATATTAATACGAACATTAGAAAGTATTCCATCATCATCACCAACGAATGTTATTGTTGAATTAACATCATTGACAAGTCTTTCGATTCGTTGGAATCCACCATTAGAATTTGAACAAAATGGTCGTATTGTTGCGTATAAAGTTAATTGTTTAGGATCAAATGAATCAACATCAATACGTTTATTAAATATAAGTGCTGAGGCTAAAGGATTACATATAAAAAGTCTTATTGAAAATATGCAATATTGTATTAGTATTGCAGCACGTACGCGTGTTGGTTATGGACCATATTCACAACCAATATGTGTTACAATGAGTAAGAATAACGAAAAACAAAAAAGAATAGATTATCATATTTTATATTGTATACATTTTTAGATGCTGATTTTCTAAAGTTAAATATTAATTTAAATCAATTCAATTTTAAACGTCGTTTTCGTGAAGCTATTACTCAACCATGGTACGTTGAATATAATTCTATTGATTATTTTTTTTTATAATATTTTTCCTTCATAGGTTTTTACCATTAATTATTATTTCCAGTGTTCTAATTACTTGTATTTTATTATATGCTTGTTGGTTATGTTTTCATCGTTTAATACATCAACGTCGTCATGGAATAAAATTTGGTAGTTCAAATTCTGCATCATCATCATCATCATCGTCATCAAATCAATTTGTTGAAATGCCCATACAAAAAACTTTAAGTAATGGGACACGTTATGATTTAATTAAAGATACGCCACCACCATCATCCTCAACAGCCTTATGGACTGATACAATATCAAGTGGTATACGTCTTCAATGTTGTACAACGACAACAGCTTCAGGTAGTAGTCAATGTGAGCATGATCCTCATTTAATAAATATACATAAAAATCCCATAAATACACTTTTACAACAATCTAAACAACAACAACTTAATCCATATGCAACAACTGGAATATTTCAACATACTCATTCACCACAACAAACAACATCAGCATTATTACCGACTTATGTAAGTTGTAAATTCATTATTTTGTATCTTAACTTGAATTATATAAAAATTTAGTCGGAATCAATACGTTCACCACCATCATTACTGTCACATCACTATATATCAGATCAACAACAACCAATATCAGTACAATATCAACCACCATGGCTTGATCATCCATCTTCATCCTTTCAATATCGTTCTCAATCACATACACCATATCATAATCATCATCATCATTATTGTATGCATTGTACATCACAATCTCATCCTCATACACCATCATCAATACGTACAACAACACGTCATATGCATAATATTCCACAACAAACCAATAGTCCAAATATGATAAACAATGAAATTCGATGGCCAATTGAAACAACAATGAACAGTTCACCTATGTAAATTATCTTTTTTGTTTTCATTGTACCTTTCTTTTTGAATATCATTTTAATTTATTTTAAAGAGTAAAACGTCAATCACAATATGCTCCTCCACCTTCATCATCAAATGCCATGATGATTAATTCATTAGGTGGAGGTAAAGATTTATTTTTGTTTTTAATTAATAATAAATATTTTAAATTTATTATTAGAAACAATGACAACTTCATGGGCAAGTACAACAGATGCTAGTAATCATGAAAGTATATCATCATCATCATCATCGTCATCAACAACTGATAATAATGAACAGAGAAAAATAGTTAATGAACATAGTCGTTCAAGTAGTGAAGGTTCATTATTTTCAGATTCGGATAATCAACAAGATGAATTGAATATATCAGCATTAAATGGCGATCACGAAAGACGACCGACTTTTCTCATGCCAAATGTATAAATATTTAAGATCTAAGTTTTCTTTTCTTTTCTTTTTTTGAAATCTAGTCATCCTTTTCTTTTTTTTCCTCTTTCTGTGCGCGTATGATTGATTTAGGTTAGTGATTTATTATTTTTTTTTCGATGTTTGTATTTCGTTCTTTTTGTTTTTCTTTTTCTAGCTGTCGTTCAGATGATCTTTCTTTCTATCTTTTTCTTTTCGTTGTATAAAATAAGTGACAGTTTCAGGGATATTTGATAGTGTGAAAAAAAACTATTGAATATTTCATATAATTGTGACAATAAAAGCGACTTTTCAATATTCAATAATAAAATGATTAACTTTTTCAAATGTCTACTAGTGACAAGGAAATCATTTCAAGTGCGTTGCAATAGCTTTCTGCTAATATGTTTCCCATAAGTAGAATGTAGTGAGAATAGAAAAAACTTAATAGGTTTATCATTTAAAACAAGAGATTTATCGACAAATCAAAGTAAAGAATTTCAATCTGAAAATTTCTCTACATGAAGATTTCATGACTCTTGTAGTGGCATAAATGTCATGACCAAAACGAATGCTTCTTATTCGAGAGATTGAGTCTTCAAGAAGCACTTTCATGGTACCACATACCAGGAGAATTGACTTTTCGTACAACCTTACTATCTCCAAACAGAAGCATTGGTTTTGATTGTGACGCTCATGTCGCTATATGGGCCATGAGATTTATATTGGAGAAGGTTTCAGATCGAAATATTTTACTATCAGTTTTCGGTAAACCCCTTGTTATTGGCGACAAACCTAGTAAAATGCTCATAATTGGAGATCAAAGACCAATAGACTGTTATCCTATTAGCTCGTTAGTTTGACCAAAAATCAAGGGAATTTCGCACCATGATAATTCAAAGCATAAGGTGAGATATAATTATGGTAGTTTCAAGCTCACTTCAAGGGAAAGAAATTTCATATATAAATATGTATGTATTCTTTTCTATACATTCGTTGACTCATGATATATATATATATCTTAGTTTTTTCTTTATATCAGTACTGTCTCGTATTATACTATAGTGATTAATCAGTTTTTACCCTTGACCTTCAATAACGATGCATGTTTCTCAATGAAATCCATCGGTAGGACAAATATCATTTTTAACTATCATTATTGCTCATTTTTGTCAAGGAAACATAAAAATTAATATTCATCAATACTTATCTTAACAAATAAAATCGTTTGTTTCGTTTTGATATTGAAAGGAGGAGGACAAAAACGACAGGGAATATAGTCGCTCTTATGTAACATAGCATGTATTTAACTGTATCATAAAAAAAAAATCTTCACAATTTTGATTCAAAATAGGTCTAATAAAAAAGCAAAATCAAATATAATCTTCATTTACAGGGGCGGTGCGACCGGGGGGGGGGGGGCAATAGGGGTCACCCCCTCCTGCTCCAGAAAATTTTGGCTGGTACTTTCCGATTTTGGGGAATTTACAACGCAATTTTCTCCGATTTCGGAGAAATATATTATGCAAATTTTTCCAAAATCGGAGAAAATTGTTTAATAGTTTCCTCCAAACTTGGATTTTCTCCGATTTTGAAGAAATATGTATAATATCCTTCTTGAGAATCGCCCAAAAATGTTCTCCGAACTTGAATTTTCTGCGAATTTATACAATAGTGTTGAATATATTTCTCTGAATCCGGAAAAATCCAATTTTGGAGAAAATGAGTAGACAATTTTCTGCGATTTTGGAGAAATATATTATAAAATTTCGATTCGGAGAAAATTTCAGTTTAGAGAGTACTTTTTGACTTTCTCCGATTTTAGGACTCCCTCCCCCCCCCTGCTTCAACCTCTTCGTGCCGTCCCTGTTCATTTATTAAGAAGTGAATTATATTTAAGCATTTGATTATCTTCTTCAAAAATAACTTATTCTAATAACTCTATTCAGATTTCAGCCAGTTGTGTTGTTCAATAACAAGTGTTTGACAACAAATATCTTGGGTGTGGGTGTGGGGTAGGGGTACTACGTTTACGTTAATTTAAAATTAACGTTAACTAAAATCGTTAATCGTTAATTCATTGTAAATTAACTCATTAACGTATAGACAACAATCATATATCATTTAATTTCAAATTTTTAATGAAAAAATCGACGTTCATACAATAACTATCTTCATGGTGTAGATGAGGATGTAAGTGTGAACTACTCTGAAAAATATAAAGGAGTGCTGCAGAAACTTTTGTGATTCTGCAGTACATGCAGAACAGTTTTATGGCTCAACAGTACCTGCAGAACCTTTTTATGGTTCTGTATGAAACTACTGAACCGTAAAAAGCTTTACTCAATAATGTTGAACCAGAAAAAGTTCTGCGTAACAATGCTGAACGAATATAGGTTTCGCTCCATAATGGTGAACCATGAAGGCTTCTCTCCCTAATCATACTGAACCATGAAAGGTTCCGTCCGATAATGTCGAACCATAAAAAATTCTCCGTAATAATGTTGAACCAATAAGCTTCTGCCCGCTAATAGTAAACCATAAAGATTCTGTGCCCATAAGTGCTGAAGTATCAAAGGTTCCGCCTGATAACATCGAACCATTAAATGTTTTGTGCATGACAGCCACTCATGAAGGGTTCTCTACTCAATCACGCTGAACCATGTAAGGTTCTTTCCAACAATGCTGACTCATAAAGGGTTCTACCAAATAATGCTGACCCATAAAAATTTTTCCGACCAGATATAATAAACCATAGAAGTTTCTGCCAGTTGGGCATAACTCTTCATGGTTTCTTAGTCAAAATATGGAATACAAAAGAGTTTGGTAGAAAATAAATGATTCAGCATGGTACTTATTGGGAAAAATTTTTCTAAGAAGACTGTACGAATCTCGTTTTTTTTAATATAGTTTAAGATATTCAACACAACTGTTTTATCATATGTTTTCTCTTTCTTTCACTTTGCGATATGTTATTATACTCTAATTAGGCGATCTTTTGTCGACCATCGAGAATGTTTTCATTTACGTAGAATACACTGAACAGAACGTGTCGAACAAAACTTTTACGGATTCATGGAGTTTCACTATACTTTTTGAGTATCATGCGAATATACAAACTCTCACTAAAGTTTCGTAATCTGATAGGTTTAGTACAACAAATCTTCCAGGTTTCAGCAGCCGAAAAATTTTCCTAGTATACCTTGGAGAGGTATACTACTGGAATATTTTCTTGTCGTGCCTCGTTTATAATATAAACAGATGCCCACCAACCAAGAAGTCGATCGATGTGAACTCGTTTTTCCATTTCTCTATATACCATTTACTTTCAAATCGAGTTTTGTTATCTCATTACTGTTTTCAGACATCGCAATTTTTTATAGACAGACTGTTCTGCGAGCAATAGAAAACACTTCACTTATGCCACAGTCAAAGTTTCGTCACTGAATCGTTGACATCTTAAAGATTTTGCCTAAAGAAACGTAGTCCCTGCAGCTCAGCAGCTTTCTATATTGAGCTTTGATGAATCAATGTAGTTATGGGTTGAATTATAGCTGGTCGGATGTCTATTGTTTCTAGTCATGGACATGGCAAATTCCTGACTTTTGCTCGTCACACATAATGAATGCCACATAAATAGAATTATAGTTCTGATATCTTTATTTTCGTATCACCTCGACTTTCTACCACTAGTTCTAGTTTAGGCCAGTACGACGTTTATTTATTTGCGATTTAACATAGACAGACAAGATCGACATATAAGCATGCGTATAGACATAGAAGTATAAAAGTAGCTATGAGTGATACACATAAACATAGTCCGATAGACATTAATACAAATAGGAGTTTAGCTATAGTGATAAGGGATAGTAAAAGGGTCAAGGAATAGATATGAGTCATGGTTATTTATAGGGATAAAGGATAGATATAGGGGTAAGATATAGTTATAGGGATAATGCGTAGATACAGAATTAGGGTTAGATATAGGGGCAAGGGATAGTTACACTCTAAAAGAAACGTGTACCCAAGAACCGACACTCCTTTGAAAACCCTTTCGGAAACCCATCAACGTTTCCGGAAGGGTTTGCGGACTTATGTCGAGTTTCTGAAAATACTTTTTTGGTTTCCAACCATCCGGAAACTAATAGATTTTCTAGATTTTGAATTCAAAAACCGTCAATTGTACTCTTCGAAACCTTTGGATATTCCCCTCACCGGAAAGGTTTCCTCGCAAACCGGTTTTCTTTCGAAAACCTTTTCGCAAATCCACTATGTATCCTCGCGTACCTTTGGATTTTCGATATTCTTTTAACGAAAGCCTTCTTGGGTTTTCGAGCATCGGAAACGGTAGAAGCGTTCCCTAGAAATTCAGCAAGGTTTCCGAACATAACTCTGAATCATTTAGGGTTTCCGAATGTTCAGAAAACCCTTGAGTTTCTGAAAAAAATCTCCGAAACCCATTAAGTATTATGCCAAGTCCAATTAGCATTCGAATATTATCATATGAACTTTTTCATTCTCACCTTCCATCGGGAGATTTTCAGGTTTCGAGGTGCTCGATATGCATGACATAAACCCTACTTAATTTGTGTGAAATTATTTTGTGAAAACATAAGAGATCTGAGAAGTGTAAAAGAAGGCCTTGTTCCCGAGAGAATTCTGATCTGCTTTTATATTTAAAATTACCCAAAATTTGGATGCCTAATGGCAAATTTCAATGTGAAAATCGCAGAGCTGTGCTAAATTGGCTGGCCGCTATATACCTTCTAACAGTATAGTAGCTAAGAGGTCTCGTGCCGAACTTAGTTTTTTCTTCCCTCGTTATATACAATGGACACATATTCACCAATATGAAACTCAAATCAATATTAAGCAGCTAGATTAAGGGGATAGAGTGAGAGAATGAATATAGATTAAGAAGCTAGATTAGGGGTTAGAATAAGGGGATAGATCCAGGAATTAGAGTGAGAGGATAGATCCACAGATTTGAGTGAGAGAATAGATCCAGGAATTAGAGTGAGAGGATAGATATAGATTAAGAAGTTAGAATAAGGAGTTAGCTAAGGGTTAGATTAAGAGATTGAGTTAGGGGGTTAGAATAAGGAGATAGACATAGATTAAGCATTCAGAGTAAGGGCTTAGAATAAGAGGTTAGATTTAGGGATAGAATAAGGGGATGGATGAAGAGGTTAGAATAAGGTGATAGATATAAATTAAGAGGTTAGATTGGGAGTTAGAATATAGGGATAGACTACACTCTTAAAAATATCGTTCTCTCGAAAACTCAAACCTCTTCGGAAACTATTTCAGAAAACCTATGAGCATATCCAGAAAGGTTTCCGGACTCATCTCAAGTTTCTGAAAATGCTGTCTGAGTTTCCGAATCTATGGAAACCCTCAACTCTATTCTCAGAAACCTTGGTCTAGTCTCGAGAACCGGAGAGTTTCCTCGAAAACTGTTTCTGATCTGAAAACGTTCACGAAAACCCTATGTGTATCCTCGAATACCTTTAGGTTGTCGGTTTTTTTTAGCGGAAACCTTTTTCGGTTTCCCAGAATAGAAAACGGTCGAAGCACTTCCCAGCAATCGAGTATGGTTTCTGAACATCGCTCAGAAATTCCTAAGGGTTTCTAAATATTCGAAAAAACTTTGAGTTTTCGAAAAAAAGTCTCCGAGCCCAGTTAATTATCACGGAAAACTCAAATAATATTCGAATGTGTTTTTTTTCTCACGTTCGTATCGTATAATTTTGAGGCTTAGGAGTTGCTCTTCAGCAGGACATAAGTCTTATTTAATTTATGTGAAATTGTTTTGCAAAAACATGAGAGCCCTGTGAATTAAAAAAGTACCTGGTCACCAGAGAACCTGGGCTCGTTATTGTACCTCTCATTGTCTATAAATTTGAATGAATTATGAAAAATTTTAGTGTGAGAATCGAAGAGTTGCGCTAAATCGGCTGGTCATTCAAAGAATGTTGTATTTCTCTTTCTTCATTTATTCGTCCTTCGCTCAATGTCCAAACCAGAGATGCCAACAGACCACTTTTTTCCGGCCTGGCCTGACCTAGCCTACAGGCTAAACCAGGTCAATGGATGTCTCTGATTTTTCAAATCCATTAAATTCTATAACTCACTTTGTAACAACGGTGTAGCCAATGAGGCTGAGTGCTCCTACTGATCTTAGAACCTTTCTGGTGAAATTTTTGAAAGATGTATATTTTTCAGTAATATAGAAATGTATTAGCTTTTACAATAAAACGTTTAAGATATATACGTTGACTGTTTTGTGGAGCTCATGTGCTTTCGAAGCAAAGAAAATATAGTAAATATTAGTTTCAATTAGGTTNCAACACTTTTACATATTTGAAAGAACAAAACAATTGAAAAAGGTGGGTTTATCCCTTAAAACAGTAAAAATAGCTCTTTTTTAACGTTTCGTCGGTCGAAAAATTTTCTATAGAAAAAATTAGTATGAAGGTGAAAAAAAATATTTTTCTCTAAGTAATTCTATGTGGTCTATCCAATCATGCATAAATATCATGAAAACAAAATTGTGAAAATTTTTCATTTTCGACAACTTATAATCATAACAGTTTTTCTTTATATTGTTTTCGATATACTTTTTCTCTCTGTTTTAAAGTCAAGAAATAGCTTATTTATGAAAAAAAAGCTCTTATCTTGGACTTACTATGATAACATTGCAACGTCGCTTAATATTTTCCGTATCCTAATAATAGTAATAAGTAATGTGTATAGGACATCAAATCAATCTCCTTAAGACAATGTAAATATATCTATACGTTAACCAGATGTCGTGCTACGTTTCCTCTCGAAAAATAAACATACGTTCGTCTTGATTATCATTTTTCAATATTTTTCTTAGTATTTTGTTTCTACATAAAACTTCAAAAATTTATAATAATAAAAAAAAGAGATAAAGTCGTAACGTATACATAATATCTTCGTTTTCTTTTCTTTATTATCATATGTGTTTTTGCAAAATACAATTACAAATTGATATTGATGCCTTCTTCTTTTTTTTTAATTTGTATTTATCAAAAAAAAGAATATATATATATAAAAGGATGTCAATTTTGCTCTGCGGTAAACAGGAATATACACATAAAAAAAAATGTGTATAACATATTTCTTCAATTCTTTTTATTTTCTGTCAACTTCATATGCAGTAATAATGACACAGCTGTCGAATCAATTTATTGAAGAAATACTTTGGTTACATGTACATTGATAGTTTTGACAAAAGCCAATGTGTATTATAATTGACAACGTTTCTTATGGCAATGGTTCCTTCGCTATTTTCTTGTGTTTTTAATCTCATGAGTATTTGTGTTCTTCATTTATTCATACTAAAGACCTAATGTATGCCATCAATGATAATTTAATTCGGCTTGTTACTATTAATTTATTTAAAGAGGAATTTTTTCGTCAAAAACTAGTTGATGCATTATTGTAGAACGTCAAAGGCGCATTAGAAAAAAGATGAAAGAAAAAATAATAATAACTCAGTGCTCCATAATTTTCTTGAAATATATATATATTTATGTTTATCTGACCTAGTTAGTTCATCATAGTTGTAGATTTTATGATAATTCAAGGATAGCTATGACAATATAGATGCAGACATATCATGGTGTCGACAAGTTCTTTCAATTATCTATTCCTATCTTCAGGGAATAGATATTTCTACGTGGACGTTTTCTTTGTTGACGTCTTACTCTATGACAGATAATAAAAATGTGTTCCTCAGTTCTAAGCAAGAGTCTAACCATTCGCCATGTTATTTTTGACTTCAGTATTATCTATATCTAGGTTAAAGTTTGTATTTATTTAAAAAGTAGTATCATTTTTTTTAAATAATTTAGATAAATATGGCATCATTAATTTCCAATATTTCATCTAACTTATCCTCTCCAAATGCTTTTGAGACTGAATTCAGACGATATCTGAAAAGTCTTATTTATCATCTTTCATTTGTTCAAGCATTTATTGTTTTATTCGGTGTACTTGGAAATATTCTTGTATTGGTTGTTATGAATAGAAGGTCTTTAAAAAATACATCATCCTCTGTATATATAACTTGTATGGCAATATTGGATAGTTGCGTTCTACTTTTGCATGGTGCGAATCTAGCAAGATCGAGTCAAAATCCTTTTATTCATTGTTCATTAACTTATCTTACAGATTTAGCAATATTTTGTGCTAATTGGGTTCTTGTTATTATAACATTAGGTAATTATTTAAACTTTAAGTAAATAGATCAAGTTTAAATTTCGTCTCTTTTTCTTCAGAACGTTGTGTTGCTGTTTATTCACCATTTGTTGCTAAACGTCTTTGTACTGTAAATTCAGCTCGTTATTCAATATGTATCTTCTTAACGATTTCAACCATCATTTTTTCTATAAAATTTCCATTTATTTATGATATTAAACAGGCTTCTAAATATAAAAAATGTCTTGTACATTCAAATTCTGGATTAATTCTTCGTATATATCAACCAATATTATTTTATGCGATACCAGATTTACTTCTTCTATCGAATTTATTCACTGTTTATGCATTATTTCGACGAACACAACGACTTTCATCAGCTTGTTTAAAGGATGAAGAAAAATTAGATATGCGTATAAATGATATTAATTCAAATCGTAAACAACGACAACTAACAATTATGCTTGTTACAGTTAGTTTCTCATTTTATTTATTTACAACACCAGCAATGATTATGTTTATCAGTGAATATCAACCAGTACAACATAATGATATTAATAAAACAAAACGAAATTTTTTCATTTCACAAATGTCTGTTATATTATTAGAATTAAATAATGCAGTAAGTCAGTTTATTAAAATCGAATTCTTTATTTTTATTTTTTTTCTTCATAGACAAATTTTATATTTTATTGCTTGGCTGGTCAACGTTTTCGTCAAGCAACTAGACAAACATTTTATGAGTATTCAGAAAACTTGAAGATTTTTTATCATCGATATATTTTATGCAATAAAGAATATAATCCTGCACCGATGTATCAACATCGTTTAGGTTATATTGGACAAACAACAATAACTCCTCGTAGTTCATATTTTCCATGTAATCCTCAATCTCCATATAGAACGTCAACAATATGATCATCATTTTTTATATGAATGCAAAAACAGTTCAAAGAAAAAATTCAAAAAAAAAAAACGAAGAGTACAGAGAAATCTCATTTGTAACCTGTCAAAATATAACATTCATGACATGTCGTACTAGTAGAGATAATTGACCTTATTCTCTTTCACAATAATAGTGACAAGTGTTTCATGTATTCGTTCCAATCGTAAATTTGTTTCTTTATGGAAGAAAAAATAATAATAAAATAAAATAAATGTTTTGTTCACGTATGCTATATTATATTTGCTTTGTTTGTTTACTAAATAAAAATTATCTATCTAAAATAAATATATGTATATAGATATATATATATCAGACATTTGTTGAAGAGAAATTTTTAATTTTTCTTATTTTGAATGTATATATATTCTCTTAAGACTCTTTATATATGAAATCTTGATTAATGCTTTACACAACACATTGTACTCTTATCAACATCTAGAACAAAATGCACATATCAATAGACACTAACTAAGTTTGCCCACTTATGTAGATAACATTTGTGCTGATTGGATCTTATTACTAGAATAATATCTTGGAATAATTAATCATATGATTGATGTCATCGCATCTGAAAAAGTAGTTGATGTGTCTAGTTCACAGAAGAACCAGAAAGTTTAAAGATGACAGAATTCATCTCGAACTTAGTACATGCTTTAGATTTAGTGTTTCGTAATCTATTGGCCTTAGAAATCGATAAGAATACACGTTTAAATGAAATTTTCTTTTCTTGTGTATTCTTCTCATCAATATGTTTTTAAATAGAAGAAACTCTTGTAATAATGTTATTGTTTACATCATATTTTATTTCTAAAGATCTTGTATGAAATTCGTTGTTAAGAAAGAAGAACAAATTTAACTTACTGATATTATCTAAGAAAAAAAACAACACATTAGATAAGCAACCGGACACAATAAGTAAATAATGAATTACGGCAAAATAGAAAATCTGGATATCTATTCTAGTCAGAAAATTCTTCTATTCATTTCTTAATAACTTGTGTAATTAGTATCAATAGAATTGAATAGCGGATTTTTAATTTTAATTAAATTCTAGATAAAAAGATTCTTAATCATGCTCAGTTTGTGTTAATATATAGTATATATAAATTTTTGACAGTGTAATTAAAAAGATCCACTTGAAAAATTTTATTCACCCATGTAAGAAAAAAGACTCAAAATTAGATTAAAATCGATTAAATAATTTAACAATCAGTTTTAATGAATTAAATTTTGATAATCGATTAAAATAGATTAAAGTTAAAATAATTTTTTGTTTTAATGCTGAAAAATCTGATTTTAATCAGATTAAAATAGTACCATTACAATAGATATTAATCTGATTTTTAGACATTTTTTTACATGGACAGCTGTGTTCTTTATTAATTATCATGAAATAAAATTGCGATTAAATGTCGAATAATAATAAAGATTGATGGTGATGAAGAGCGCTAAGAGATGAACTCAGTGTATGTAATAGTGAATCTTTGAGTATTCCAGAACTGAATATATAAGAACTTGCACTCAGATTGGGATAGTCCTAATCAAATATAAATCCGTATTGTTCATAGAAACAGAATACAAGTATAAAATAGATGAAGATTTGATAGATTGTAACACAAATTTCGTTAATATAATTATGACAGTAGTTGAATTAAGAAAAAAAAAATTTTTTTCACACGATCCACGTTAATATTTAGAGTATATTGAAAGTAGTGATTTTGACAGATAAAATCCCACAGGAAAGAATTAATCAAATTTTTCTTCCAATAAGTATTTAAGCTAATAACTATACTTAATCATGCATAATCAGTTTGTTCGAAGACATTTATTGAAGCTATTTTTCAAATAATTCTTTAGTAAAAACTTTATCATCTTGGATCTAGCACTCCATGTAATGACACTAAGAGCCATTTGATTGATGAAGTGTATCAATTATATAGAACATTGGATAAATACGTTGTAGTTTATATGTAGTATAAAGTAAATATAAAATAATTATAATACGTTCGGATATACAATAGTAAAAGTATCTTTATGAATATTTTGTTGGATGTTGTTAAAATGACTTTCGATATCTTGAGCACTAGTCAATGGTCTTTGTCTTCCGATTTGATTGATAAGTAGTTTTAGAGAATTATTGATGTAGTATTGGTGATTAAAAGCCTCTCTACTTTCCATATCTGACTAGTTGTGTTTGTAAAAGATACGAACCATTGTTATGAGACTAAATTATCGCGCCAAATTGGAGCTAATGGAGATTATTCAATTGTAGTTCTGCTAGTTCGAAAAATCTGAATCGATGTGTGTGAGATATGTACAGATTTTGTCATTTACTATCATTTCATTTATTCGTTGTATTTCTGTAGTCAACCATATCCAATAAAACTTGAATGATCAATATAGTTGCTAATTGTTCTATATTGAGTGGTATAACAGAGAAGATGAGGTTTTTAATCACAGATTATTTGAAAAATAACTTCAAATAAATGGATTATTCATAATTAAGCATGACTACTAGCTTAAAGATTTACTGATATAAAAATTTGATTAACTCTTTCTTGTCGGCATTTATCTACCAACATCATTACTTTTCATATGCCCTTAGTGTAATAGTTCATAATTTACAAATATGATACATGATCGAATAAATATATCAAAAACTGCTAAATGATGATAGTCAATGTAATAAGCTATGTTGATTACGTTGATTCTGATCTAATGAGTGCTTCATAATGAATGACCGTGTTTTTTGTATCTTATTTTTTCATCATCTAATACATTTTATTAAAAAAGCGAAATGTACCACAAGATGCAGCGTGAAAAGCTCTACAATTTACATAAGACTGATTATTTTATAGTTGCACTTTTTATTCACAAATGGGTAAAATTTTCAATGATCAAATTTCGATCGTGCGAAAAAGATACTTTTTTTTATACGGGATCAAGTCATTTTTTAGTTTTTCATCTTTTCATTCCCTGATATGCTTTCTTAAAAGGAAAGCAAAATATAGCAGAAGATGCAGCCTGAAAAACTCTACAGTTTACACAATAAAGCTTATTGTAATTGTTTTCACAAAAAGCAAATTTCTGTGTAACCAATTTTTGCTCGGTCAAAATTTGGTGGCTCAAAATTTTGCCCATTTTATAAACAAAAAGTGCACACTATAAAATAATCGGTCTTATGTAAATTGTGGAGCGTTTCATGCTGCATCTTGCGATATATTTTGTTTTCTAATAAAATGCGTTAGATGATGAAAAAATAAGATGCAAAACGCGGCCATTCATGATGGAGTACCCGTTATTTTTTCTTTGTGAATAGTACTCAGAAAAGATGCTGCACATATTTCTATTTCAGTATCGAATCTAGATAAATAATGATACTCATTTTACAGTTAATGATTATTTCGTATTCTTTAATTAGTAACTTATATATTCTACATGTTTTTGAAAATTGTTTAACAATATGAAAGAAGCTATACAAAAAATATCTTCATTCCGTTTTATTTCAATAGAACAATAATAAAGTTCGTATAATTTATTATAAGATCAGGTTTTAACATACAGTGATTAAGGAGCTACGAGTTCATGTTTTCTTTTGTGGACTCGAATTAGAGTTTTGTTTCACCAATATCAGACATTCTATCCTGTATGTGCATGAACAAGTGAAGGATCAAAGTTATATCTATTTACTGAATACTCTCAGAAAAAATGTTAATGTAAAAGAAAAGGAAATTGAACAGTTAATTGGTAAACGAAATTCGTCGCTGAAAATCGTCAAACTAACATTAGTATCAAAACCTTCAGTTGCATGAAATAATTTTAGTTGTATTGATGTAAATGAGATCAAGAAAGTAAAGAGCTGAGTATTCACATTTTTATGGGCCCAGACTTGCAGCTATCTCTAATAGCCACTGACATGGACATTCATTATCTTTTAATCATTATTCGAACATTTGATGTAAATACTTTTTAATTCCTCCAATCGAATGATAAGTAGATAAATCGTTTGTTTAAACAGATACCCGCTACTAATACTAGCGCTAATTCTGCGAAATGCAAACTATTTATGATTGATATCACATACATCATGTGTAGTAAAATATGATCATATACGTATGTAATCGAATACGGATGGTTGCCTACATAGAATTTCTGCAATCTATATTACAAGTTTCAGTAAAATGTTTCAGAGAATAGCATCTGTTAGATAACATAAATGATATTAATATCAATACAGTTGCTAAACATAATCATCGCTATGAAATAGCTATGACTCAGAAGGATTGTTTTATTATTTTATATAATCATACAAACTTATTTTTGTATAAAAAAATGTTGTATTATTTTTTTTCTAGAAATCATTACACGATAGACAAGACTAATCCTGCTCAATTGATGTCATAAGCTTCAATGAAATTGTGCCTCTATTGTTGGTCCAAATAAAATGTGAAAAACTCAAAAACATTTAGTTTGTAAAACCAGTTCCCTTGTAGAGATATTCAATCTACAACAGAGTCACCTTCAGGTGACAAAATGAGGATAACCAAAGCAGTACTTACATATTGTATACTTAAGTATACAATACATAAGTACTGCTTTGGTTATCCTCATTTTGTCACTTGAAGGTGAATCTGCTGTAGATTAAATATCTCCACAAGGGAACTGGTTTTTCAAACTAAATGTTTTTGGGTTTTCCACATTTTACTGGGAGCTGTATACAGGCAAAATTTGATTGTAACCGATGACATCATTTGAGATCATAATATGTCTCTGAGTCGTCTATCCTGTGTAGCGTCTCCTAGAGATGTCTGTCAATGATAAATACAGGCATTGTATTGCTGTTGTATTGGACATCAGAACTACAAACTATCAAATAAAAATAATTAGTTATTTAATTATTATTTTTGCTTCTAAAGCGCAATGATTGCTCAATTGAATTGTAACCTCTTTCCAATAATCTTCAAACGTGACA